CTAAAATATTTAATAATAATAATAATAATAATAATAATAATAATAATAATAATAATAATAATAATAATAATAATAATAATAATAATAATAATAATAATAATAAATAACAGAATAATAAAGATAATAATCATAACACGAACACTTCTATTCATTGTTCACTACAACATTCCGTTGCATACCTAAACCCAAATCTGCATACACCTGATAGTGCATACACATACTAACTGGTTAGGCCCACTAACACAACAGTGAATAATCACTACAAAATCAGTTCATACGGTCTCCTTAATGCTGTATAATTATTGTTTAATAACGGCTATATGCAATTCAATTGATTAAGTACAGTACATTTTTTTTGAAATTATAAAAAACAGGAATCCTGTCTAGAGAATGTTTCATGCCGTGTCTGCGAAACCATAAGGAATGGAATGGAGGAATACCATAATTATAGGCATGTTAGATAGAATGTTGTACATTCTATTATTATTTTAGAGAAGGCTCTTTTGAGTAAGAAGGACATTTACAGATGAAGTGTAGACCACCTCAGCCCCACCATGGTTGGGGCTAAGGCGCGAGAATTTGGGTAAATAGTACCGCATGCTGGCCGGAAATGACACTCTTACAGTAAAATCTATCATCATCACATCACCATTATAGTCAACATTAAGTGCCAACAAATTTCTCATCATCATTTATTAGGGATTTTCGGAAATCATAGAGATCTAATTAATCCCTGTGATGCGCCATAGCAAATAAAACTTCGATGTATTGACTTTATTTTACCTAATTTATGTGCCGAAAACCAATGTTGTCTTTACTTGGCTTTTTTTATATACTTCTCAAATTATAATAAAGGCACGCGCACTCGAGTCGTGTATAGATAATTTCAGTAGCGGAATCAAGGAACACCCAGCCGGCCAGGCCCCTCACCCCCTAATTATTTTTTTAATTTAAAAAGAATTGTGAATAAAAGAAAATTCTACTGAAATTTTGAGTCTAAGCGTGCCATTTCCGGCCTCTAGAAGTGCCATACCCATAAAATTTCTTTCCTCAGCCCCATCCATGGTGGGCTAAGGTGGTTATGAAATTCCTTCTCTGGACCCCCTTTATTTCAAATTCCTGGATCAGCCACTGAATTTAGATATTTGTGGGCAGAGATACCGGTATCTTGCTATATATAAGAAGGTGTATTATGGATGTACAGCGCTCTTTCGTTAAAACCTGGGTCTTAATGCAGTTCATTACAACAATTTTCAGGCATTTTTTTTTACTTATGAAATCACATTGCCGCCGAAAAGTGGGGGGGGGGGTTATAACCAACCCCACCTTAAAAATATGTTCACCCTACCATTATCTGTGCCCTTGTGAGATAAGAAGCACACAAAACATTAGTTAGCATTTTTTTTTTCACAAACATAAATGTGATTTGCTTAATTTATCATTACAATATAACATCGGAGATTTTAATATGGTAAACTGCGAGTCCAAAGAAGAAATAACGTATTCAGACACCACAGTGAAGTCGTTTCATTCTTTTATTCACCATTGTAAGCCATGCGGATTGTAACTGATTGGTATTTAACATCTTTTCTTAGGAAAAAACCTCCTATGAATGCAATCAAAAATATAATAAGTTAATCACATATTCATAGTAACAACAAACTATATGAACAGCAGCAATCATGTTATAACAACAATTCATATTCGACGTTCATCCATCTCAACATTATATTCATTATATCAATATCATGAATGTATGAATAGCATATAATAAATAAAGCATCATAATATAATTAAGCATCAGATATAATGAAGCATCATAATATAATCAAACATCATATATAAACATGGACCAATGTCTACCTGAGTCATCAGTATCGGCTTGTGAATAGAACACCGGTTTATTCAGGTACCAATCTATTCATTCAATGGACCAGGCATCATGTATCGAATAATAAACATTTTACCTTTTATACTCAACCAAACAATAATAGATCAAAATGATTACAACATTGTTTCATATTCATATTCATATTCCTTTATTTCATTTTATTCAGTATCAAAATCGCAGTCGAGGATTGAATTAAATGATACTTACAATATTAGGCTTACAGAACAATAGAATAAAAACATATTACTCTAATTAACAAAACACATACTGCACAGACATTAAAAAAAAATTAAAACATTAAAAATTGTATAAAAATTAGATCAGTAAAATTAAGTTATTTATAAAGTATATAATGGATGAATTAATATTAGCTACCCGTATCGACAATCTCAGCCATTACCTTCAACACATTAATAGCCCTATGTAGGGCTATAAGAATAAAAATACCAATGACAACATTTATAGGTTTATACCAACATACTTAATGATAATAATAATAATAATAATAATAAATAAATAAATAAATAAATAACAGAATAATAAAGAAAATAAGCATAACACGAACACTTCTATTCATTGTCCACTACAACATTATGTTGCATACCTAAACACAAATCTGCATACACCTGATAGTGCATACACATTCTAACTGGTTAGGCCCACTAACACAACAGTGAATAATCACTACAAAATCAGTTCATACGGTCTCCTTAATGCTGTATAATTATTGTTTAATAACGGCTATATGCAATTCAATTGATTAAGTACAGTACATTTTTTTTGAAATTATAAAAAACAGGAATCTATGTAGGCCTATGCAGATAATATTAAACAGCATACGGGTCTTAATAATATACAAAAAGAATAAATCGTTTATAGTAGAAATTGTGCACTTTTGAGTTGGTAAAAAAGTTGGCCTAATAGGCCTACTAATAGGTTTACACGCTTACAATTTTAACAGCGTAGTATACATTGTTTTCACAATAAATTTAACCTCTGATAACCGTTGCACTCATAAAATAGATGGAGTTGTTGAAAAACCAGAATTCGTCGCCCCCCCCCCCCACACACACACGTGTCTAGGAGAAAAACCACAATTCGTCGGGGAGAAAAAGATGTATATGTATTTCCTACATATTAGTAGACTCCCAAATCGATTAAATAAGCCTTTGTAATCCCTAAATTGTCAAATTTTTCGGGGGCTTCTCGCATCCACCCCATGAAACAATTTCCAGATATTTTGATTGACGTCCGCCCACGCCTACTTTTTTCGTCGGGGACATCGGCAAATGCTGGCGCCACCACTGCTGATATGGTTACGAAAATTGTACAAACAATTGCGTTTTTACTCGGTTTTGATCGGAACAGTGGAAAGTTCGCACCGCACTAGGAACGAAGCACAAGTGAACAAACAAAATTCATGACAGTCATTCTAAATTGTTGTTCTTTCACTCGCTTTGGAAAGTGGAGTTTTACTTATGAAGATTGGTGAAAAGTGAAAAGTTCCCCCTACTTTGAAAAGTCAGATGGTGACCACGTCATATTAAGTTATAATACCGTATTAATGATATATATATCCCTTTACTATGTCATTTCTAAAATGTGACAGTTTTATTCATAATTAAATGCACAGTGTATTTGAACCTTTGTAGAGTTAATATTTATAATCTTATTTCGCCACACCCTTTTAGAAAATTACCCAGTCACAAATACTTTACAGACATGGAGACCCTTTTGTTTTACTTATCTATCAGATCTAGGCTACATCATAATCAGGAATGTCTACAATGGTAGGCATGGGGATCCAGAGCTGTCCCATTGAGGGGAGCCTCCACCATCCTGTCGGGGACAAAGAATACAATTCGTCGGGAGAACGCAAAATTACCTGCATTTTTTACATAGGCCTAATTGAATACATGCCCGTACGCAGGATTTTTATGGGTGGATGAAAATTTGTGGAGAGTGGACCAATGACCACGGGAGGCATATTCCTGCTGGGATCGAGTCACCGGGGTGGAGCCCCCACGCGCTCAGACGTTCTTGATAATTTGAGGTCTTAATTGTTTCTGAAGATGCATTATCAACAGTATTAAACGGTTTCAGAGACAGATTCAGGAAATGTGGGGGGGGGGGTGTGCTGGGAGGGATTTTCACAGATGGAGGGTTCATACCACCTCAGCCCCGCCATAGTTGGGGCTGAGATAAGAAAATTATATTTATGGTACACCTAGATGGCCGGAAATATCACTCTAAGATTTGTAAATATATCGAGGTCGAGTAAAATAAATTTCTGCATTATTGGACATACACATAGCCTAGATATTTCAAGCACAATGTAAATAAAACATTGTTAGACTTAAACGTAAAAGAAATAACGTAGGCCTATACTACACAATGAAATCAAGGCCATAATATTATTGGGCATTGAAAATACTACATTTACCATAAAGGTAATTTTTTTATGAATAAATAGAAATAGCTAAAGGCCTTTACGTCGTGGATGAGATGAGTAGACGTAAAAAATATATATCAAATCGAGAATGCATAAAATATGCCTATACTGATCTTATTGGGAACAGGTAGGGAAAAAATTAATCCATTTGTTGTTGTTTTGAGGCAAATAACGCAAAACATAACACTGCATGAACACCAGTAGAGACAAAATTTTGAAGAGGCGTAAGGTTTACTTGGAAGCAAAATAAGAGGATGCGATCTTTCCTTAGCTAAGCAGATACCGAAACCACCATTGTCAAGGCCGCATCAAGGAAACCCTTGGGGTTGGGGGTGCAAATATTGACCATTCCGTTATGGAGGGTTGCCAAGAATATCTGGCAGGTCAAGGAGGAATATCTGGTAGGATTGAAGTTTCTACGCTTTGTAATCAATTGCAGGCTTAAGTAGGGCAATAATATTATACAATAGGACTATCTATACTAGAAAATATATAATATATTGAGTACATTCATGACTGTCTTATAGAGTAGGACTATATATACACCACCAGAAAATAAATCATTATTAGTACATTGTACATTCTCGACTGTCTTAAAAATGTGGACATTCACCGATTTGGATGGGTGTTAGGCGAGGTGGGTGGAGGGCGTACAACAATCGCACCACCATCTTCTGGATACGGGCCTGATTATAACATGGTAACGATAGTGTTCAAATCCTCGAAAACTAGTAATATCATCGGTATATGCAGGGACATATTCAGGGGGCGTGGTGTTGCATAAAATGCTGTACAATTTCTAATTGACTGCTACTACTATAGAATTGTGACCCGTGCTCTCATAGAAACATACCATAAACTTCTATTAACAAAAGTCACTCGCTAACCTGATCGTAACCCAGTTAAATATTCATTAAATTAATCAATTTTTCACTGTACACGATAATGCAAAAAATAAATTTTCGGGTTTATAACGGCTACTGCTCAAGTAGTGGATTTAGCAAACTTACTTAACAAAAAAAAAAAAAAAACTTAAATTCGTCTTAAATTCATAAATCCCAGGCCATGTCTTTTAAAATACAGAGATGTGATATTCTATGGTTCAGTTTGGTTGTTACCCTTTTGCCAGCATTTATAAAGTTTAGTTTAATACTACTAAAGTAGTAGTAGTAATAATAAAAATAATAATAATAATAATAATAATAATAATAATAATAATAATAATAATAATAATAATAATAATAATAATAATAACGATAATGATGATGGTGATGATGACGATTAGTGAATATGATAATAGATAATAATATGAATAATATTAAAAATTGTGCTGAAGGAGGCGAAAAGGAAAGTTGTGATTTGTCGATCATAATTATTATAGGCTAGTAGTTAAGCTTAGTATATTTTGGCCCAAGTTGTCCTGGATATTAAAGATCTCTATGGTTGCCGAAAATCCATGATAAAAGATCATGAGAAATTTGTTGGCGCTTCATTTTGACTATGATTTGGTGATGTGACAATGATGATAAATTTTACCATTTAAAAGTGTCGTTCCGCCCATCTAGAGGTACTATTTCCTCAAATTTTCTCACCTCAACCCCAACCATGGTGGGCTAAGGTGGTTGTAAAGTCCATACATCCAAGACAATGTTTTTAAACTTTATTTTCTATGGTACATCACACATATTAATAAGATCTCTATGGTTGCCGAAAATCTGTGATAAAAAATCATGAAAATTTTGTTGACGCTTAATTTTGACTATTATAATGGTGGTAATACGATGATGATGATGAATTTTGCTAAAAGTGTCATTTTTGGCCATCTAGAGGTACTATTTTCGCAACTCAGCCCCAACAATGGTGGGTCTGAGGTGGGTGTGGACTCATGAAATGTCTCTCCACCTCACATCATTCAAAGCAGATCTGCGCCCTTCCCTGGGTATGATATTAATCTCCATCGAGTCGGCACGTGACTCAGAGTATGTCTTAGTAACTGCTGAGGGGAAGGTGCATAAATTTTGTTTTCAGCATGTGATCAGGTTTTTCATGCTCATTATGACTATTTTTGATAAAGAATGTTTTGAGCAGGGGGCAGTAGATTCAAGACCCCCTTCCAATTTTTTTTTTAAATGGAAAAAAGAAATTTATTTTTAAATTTAAGTCAGAGCGTAATTTTCGGCCATCTACCTCAACCCCAACCATGGTAGGGCTGATGTGGGTGGAAGTCCCTGAAAGTCTGTGAAAGTCCCTTCCTGGATCACCTTTCTTTTGAATTTCTGGATTCGCCCACTATTGAGTTATTATAATTATTGTAATTCTTACTAATATTAGGCCTATTTATGAAGCGTCTATTGCAAATTTCACTTTATCCTCTCAAAACAGTCCTTAAACGTTCAGAGTGCGCTACTTCCCAGGGGATCAGCCACCACCACCGGGGCTCTTGGCGCCCCCCCCCCCCCCCCCCCCCCCCCCCCTCCCACAGCCGTTGGAAGGGGAACATCCCACCTTCGCTCGGATAACGGCTCCCCCCTTTCAAAATCCTGGCTACGTCCCTGGGTATATGTAGTTCTGTATGTATTATGTGCTGTTTTCTTAAGGTAGCATTATTCTTTAGGTAGCATGCTGATTATCATCTTACAAATCCTGTACGTAACCAGACAATGTTTTGGTGAGTAACGAACTTTATGTATAACGATTTGTTTAAACATCAACCAATCTTTAAGTTGACGGAAAACATGCCGACCGACCGAAAGATTGACAGCTCGACCGGCAGTAGACGGACAGATCGACCGACCCACTGATCGAACGACAGACAGACTGATGTGCTGTCTGTGATATACTAAAAGAAAACCAGCAAAACCGTCCAATTGTTAATTTCTACTTCTATATATATATATA